CAAAGAATTTGCTGCATCGAGGAAAGCATTGGCATTCAATTTTGGCCTAAATATACGTTTAAGTGGTGAGAAAATATTAAAATATTATTATATATAAAAAAAGGTTTTTTTTTAAATTATTTTGTTTTAATAAAATTTTACCTTTTTACTTTACCCTTACCTTTTTCAATTAATTAAGGAAGAACCAATAAAGGAAGTCGTTCGAGAAATTTGTGCCAGGTTTTACAATGTCCAGAAATGTATAATTCTTCGTCACTAATAAGGGATAAGAAATATCGATATTACAGCATGTATCCTAATTACGTCGATTCTGGTAATTAAAAAAAAAAATCAATTTTAAATAAAAATTAGGATTTTTTTGTTATAAAAAAATATAAAATAATATTTTTTAGGAGGGGGCACAATAGTTTGTGTACCAAAAGCAGGATTATTTATATTATCGAATAACAATTTAAATTATACTCAAGCACAAATGTCTTGTCAAAAATTAAATGGAGCACTTGCGCATGTGATAAGCGAGGAACGTATGAATGGCTTGGCTAAATTTCTTTCACATAAGATTTCAAGCTACGTTGGTTTGAGTAACAACGATGATGAAGAAATTTGGAAAAATTCGTTTGGTTGTAATCCACTTATTTTTCATTTATTCTTATTTAATAAACTTTGAAAAATAATATAAATAATATTAATTGACTATAATTCTTAACGATCTACGCTGCTTTTTTAATTTATTTTATAACATAATTATAATTTTTTTATAGATTATAAGAGATTCATTTTAATGTTATTAATATTACAGATGAACCTCTATCATGCTTTAATTACCATGCATGGGGCACAGGAGAACCTTCTAATTCAAAAGGATGTGTTGCTATTCTTACATTCTCATCTAATTCGCATGTTACACCTTTTTGGAAAGTTACACCTTGTTACGTTTCGTTACCTTATATATGTGAGATTTTTCCAAGATATCAATAAATAAAGATATAATATTATTATATATATATANTATATATATATATCAGGAATTTTTGAGAAGGATAAATAAAATTCGAATCTACTTATGTACAGATATTTAATCTAAGACTACAAGAATCTTTAGTGTTATACTTAGAGAACTAGAATATTTACAAATACGAATTAAAACAACATAACTGTGTACGTGTGCACGATTGACAGAAAACAAGAAGAAAAATATAACTCTCACTCATTGTTGCTTATGTATATGAATGCGTTTTTGTGTGTCGTAAATTTGTTTTGTGTGTGTATATATTTATATATATTATGTATGTATATATAATATATATATATGTACATATTTCTAATTTAATAATTTTAAAAATGCTCTTCCTGGATATTTTAATTCTATTTTTTGTAAAGCTTACGATCTTAAAACTATTAATTACATCTACACACACTGCCTTTAACAAGCTATAACGTAACATTTATATACTGTGTCTTTAATTGCTTTATTTAAACAATTCTTTTAGTAGGACTCTAAAAAACATGTTAATAATAAAACATGTATGATATATAAATGACGTCTCACAATGACATTCGATGTAAAGCAACAATAAGAAACGGATTATGTAATAAAAAAATATATGTGTGTATATGTACGTATATGCATATATGAATACAACACAAATTTCTTATATATATATATATTATATGAGCCATTATTTCATGTATGGCGTCAGATGAAGATCAAAATATATATGTGGATTTTCGTAACTACAATAAATCTTCATTTATCATTGTCTAATTCATATTACATTATAATTCTGAATTCTGTTTAAAAGATGCAATCCAGTTGCATATTTCTATTCAAACTAAATTCTTGTTAGAATGTAATATTTCAATATTACTGTGCCAAAAGAGACTAAACCAACCATAGAAGAATAAATATATGTTACTAATTGTAATATCGTTCTAATCATTAAGAATTATTATAGATCTGTTAATTGGACGCTTTTGATAAATGAAGTTCTACTGTATCTATCGAGAGTAGTCAAATGAAAGTTTATTTCTGTTATTTTATAGAAAATTTGTTCTAAATAAAATTAATATCAATGTGAGAAAAAGTATTATGTTTCATATTTTATGCATTAAATACAAAATTTAATAGACCTTTCATTTGACTATGCTTTTTTCTTTTTGTAGTACTTATGCTTAATAAAACATCTGTTTTTTTAACATAGAATTAAATTACATTAATATAATCTATTCATTTTTTCTATTATTTTGTGTTAAATATTAATAATTATTATAAAACAAACAAAATAGGTAAAATAACACATACAATATATATATATATGTATATGAAAATTTTAAAATATTAATATTAATATATGTGCAAAAATAAGTTTAAAATATCTAGTTAAAATATATCATTTACAGAAATGTAATCAGAGCTTTGATATAAAGATTGTACAAAGATTTATATAAACAGGATTTTGTAGTTATTTCGCTGCTCATGTGCTTCATATAAATAATTCATTAACACATGAAAAGTATTGGTCCATTCTTATGTAAAAGGTACTTTTATAATATTGTAGGCAAATATATACTAGTGCATTATAAAATTGAACATTTTTGTGCTGTTTATAAATGAATTATGTAATATTTTGTGCCAAATGAACATATTTCAAAAAATAAAATGCAGCTACATAAGCAAAATTTAATATATGTGTACATTCAGAAAAACAAATATGATTATGGCACGCAATAACATCATTATATTATTTTAGGACGATAAAGTGAATGGACCATATAGTTTATAATACATAATGCGAGTAGTTTATCCATCGGAGTAATAATCATTGTTAAATATTTGCGCATAAATTTGTTTGTTTAGGAAGCAAAAGCATGCTAACTTTTATATATTTAACTTTGTGATAAATTTAATTCAAAGAAATAAATTTTTATTGAATATTCATGCAAAAAGTATATCTGTCTATAAATAAATAGCGTTAGAAAAAATAAAAAAAAAGCTTTTTAAATTTTGCTTAAAACTATTATTGTCCTGTGATAAATCTACGAGAGTAAGAAAAAATGATGAAGCCATTAGCAGAAATAATGATCTTAGAGAAGATGACATTTGTTTGTTTAAAAGTTAGATGAGAAAACGACTTGACTTGATTATTATGCAGTGAAATATAAAAGTATAAAACGATTTGTTTATGGTGCAATATACACATATTTTGTTATTTTTCAATAAATGACAAGTTTCAAAATGTTAGATTATTTCTTTTTTTTTTTTTTTTCATAAGCATGGTCAGTATTATATACTTGTTAAGAAGACTTAGTAAAAATATTAATCACTATTGTACATTTATATAGTTTGCACAAAGTAGAATAATAAAGTACTAGTACTATCTTTTTTCCAAATGGGATACATTTTAATAACAATTGTCTCGTTGGGTTTATGGCTTCATGATTCTATCTATTATATAATTCAAATGATTTTTTTCATAAATTTTTCTTGAAGTTTTCTCTTTAAATCTATTTTACGCGAAAAAACTGTATATTTTTAATAAGTAATTGATATGTTCCTATACAATATATTTTGCAAAGATAATTTATATTTTCTTGCCATTGTTAATATGCGGTTCATAACGTGAAATCGTAGTGATTATAAATATGCAGTAAAATAGTTTATAATAAGAAAAGCTTGTGCCATTGAAATAATTTGTTTGCGTATATGTTATATTTTTACCATGTTTCATTTGTTAATGAAAAGCGATAAGCTTACACATTGCATTATCATAATTCGGGACGGATCGCATAGAAAAAAAAATACATCGCGTTCCAAGTGCCATTTTTCACAACCCTATAATAATGCATGTGCAATTAGATGAACACATTATTTATTTTTGTATTTTTTTTTTTTTTTTTTTAACTAGAATGATACCTCTCCATTAATTAGATATTTTATTTATTGCTTAAATAAGGAATGTGCGTATATGTATAAGTATAGCTATATTCTATGTCTTTGTTTAGAAATATATAAACTTTTTGGAATGCTTTTAAAACTTTCATGCAGCATTAGGCAATATTATATGTGTAGGATGAAGCAAAGTTAGAATAATTAATATGAACAAGATGAGTAGCCCTAAACCCGAAAGACTTCGATTATACCAAAAGTAATTTTTGTTAATATACAGGAATTATAATATGAGCAATCATTTGTTGCTTGTTGACAAATTTCGATCACTATATAGATCAACCATGTGCGCATTAAGTGTAAAAAAAAAGATCTATGCGTCACAATATTTATATTTCATAATATAATTTGCATTAACAGTCACATTTATAATCACGAATATTGATTTTTATGTATTTTGATATTTATGGTACATAATTCAGAAAAATTTGATTTATCAGACTAGAATTTTTATAATAAATTGTTTAATTCAAATTGAAAATGTTGCAAGAAATAATATTTTCTAATGTGGAAATATATAATACTAATTTGCTTTGCTCGAATTATCAATTAGAATTTATAACGAATATTTATATAAAAAATTAAATATTGTATCTAGTTCGCGTTTGTGCTATAGGTACATTCACTTAAAATTTTGCTTTTTTAAGAAAATAAAAAATTTATCAAATGTTCAACGTTTTTATAATAATGCCAAACATAGCTTCTAATTTGTTTCTCTACAAGTATTAAATAACTTTCAATTCATGCCCTGTATGAGATAGATTCTTTTTCTCATTGTTTACTACCTCATTCATATGTGTATACTACAAATTTGTGATAGATTTGTATATCACTTACTTTATTAGCACCATTTGAAAAGCAATACTTAAAAAATGACACATTCAATTTTTGGATCTAATGTATCCACAAACTAACTCACAACTTGTTGTTTGTAATATGTATGGTTACGAGTTTCCAGATAGATGTTTGTATCTCTGTGTATGAATGGAGGCATCTCACAAATGCAGTGAACAGAGTAGTGTATATTGGCACTCACGAATGAATAAACTTACTATGAATTATTATTATCATATGAATATTGCGAGGCATCTATTAGATGGACAAAAAATCACATTGTGTTTAATTAAACGACTGTTTTAAGTACTTTAGTTTTTTCTTCTTTGATAGCTAAAACTTCAATTGCTATAACGAGACAATTTTTGGTATATCTTTATAACAATAAAAGTTTTTTTCTGCTAGCAAAAATATGTTACTAATATATTTAAAACATCACAATTATAAGAAAAAAAAGTATCGACAAAATAAAAACAAAAAGGTAAAAAAAAATCAATCTGGCGGATGTTGTGAGATCACATGAAATATCAAATTATACAAAGAAAAAAAAAAACAATGATTATTTACGGTTAAAAAATCTTATACGGAATGTCGCATTTATAGCCAGAAATAGGCAAATACTGTTACTGCATTGGTGGAGCAAACGAAAAAAATGACACCACCAAAATCAATAAATATATAACAACCACGATAATAGTACTAGTAATAATTATGCTATTAGTAGTATTAGTACTTCGTTATTTGCAATATTATGACAAATAACAAAATATTATAAATTAAAAACAAAATATTATAATTATAAAAATACGTTTCAGGAAATACGCATTAATTTTTAAATATTTAAATGCTTCAAACTTTGTTATTGATTGAGGCATTTGCCATAAATGGTACAAGCTGCTCTGAAAGTTGTTGTACCGTTTGCTGCAATAGTGCCTGTTTTTCTTCCAGCATGGCAACCTTTATATAAATAAGTCAATATTGATAAAATAATAATTCATTTACATGATTTAGCATTTTTGACGATGTAATTGTTAATATAAACAAATCTTTTGTAAGAAAAATTATATTTGAATATTGTATATATATATATATATGATGAAATATTTACCCTTTCTAGTAGTTGACTATAAAGATGGTACGGAACAAAGGCCAAAGTTCCAGGTGTTGTTACAGTTCCATGATCCGTTGTATCTGACTTTCTTTCCTTTTCTTTTTGTTTATCTTCACACTCTGGTTCTTGTTTAACAGCAGCATCAATATTTCTAAATGATATCATTAATCTGTTACATTTCAAAATATTTTAACATGTCTTAAATAAAAGACTTCAAAATAATAACTATCGTATTTATAAATATACCGTGAGAAAGTGCTTTCTTTTTTAATTTCCGGTTTATCAACACGGTCCAATTTTTCCGATCCAACTTTTCTCCTTTCTAATTGATTCATTTTTAATTCTTCTACCTAAACGACAAATAAATAATGTCAAGAATACGGAATAACATGATGTCTTTTTAAAATATAAATATAAATTTTTAATTACCCAAGGTGCCTTCTTTCTTGCTTTTGCTGACAGTTTCTCACCTTCATCTTCCCTTAACGAGTCTGTTTCTTCAGTATTTCCGTTCGATAAATTATCGTCCTAAGCACGAATAAAATGAATAATGATCAAAAAAAGAAAGTTTATTAGAAACATAAATATTATGTGCTATTGAATCTAAATATGTGTTAAATACCATAGTGGGGTTTATTGTTGTATTAAGTATCGTGGTTGCTGTTGTTGTAGTTCCAGTAGTATGATGTCGTAAATGTTGAGAGGAAGGCAAACGACGTCGGGGTGCTTTTGCACGTGAAGCTGTTAAATGCGAAAGTGGTGCTCCTTCGCCTCTTTCCACTCCATCTAATTCTTCTCCTAGTGCTATGCTTGGATTTCCATTGCCATTATTACTTCCAGTATCACTTATAAAATGTTTCAAATTAGAAATAAGTGAAGGATTGCCTATTGGTTTCTTCTCTCCACTTCCTCCTCCGCTACTTCCTCCTCCTCCTCCAACATTAGACAAAGCTAAAGTCGAAGATGTAGAAGATGATGATATCATTTTTTTAGTAGTCTCCACGTTACTAAAATGATCTAAAAGATAGGAGTAATTATTGACTTAATATATGTCATATAATGTATTTAATTTTTTAGAAAATATAAGCATTATATACTTATTATACATATAATGCATATAAAATAAATAGATATACCTGTACGTAAATTTTTAGCATCTAAACTTTTCCTAGCATGTGCCTTCTCACTTTTTTTTAATTGATGAGAATGTTTCGCAACAGATTTAGAAGTCAATTGACCCGGTTCGTGCCACTGTTCTTGATCTTGATGATCATTCTTAACCCCAATAACTTCAACAAAATTATCAGGAAATAATCCTATTTGTCCTCTTAATTCTCCTTTCCACCAACCCTTTATAACAATAATAAAGTATTATTACACATTCTCTTCCCATTTTTAACAAGAACTTACTTTATCCGGTGCATCTCTGGATAGCAACGCAATTATTTCTCCTTCAACCAATGTTAATTCATCTTCATTAGCTGCTTCGTATGCGTAGAGAACTCTACAGTATTCTTTCTTATCTTTCTTGTGCTTATCTTCTTCTTCATAACTTAGATGAACAAAATTCGAAGGGAAGACACCAACTCTCCCTCTAAGTCTACCTCTCCACCATCCTTCTTCTACTTCACCCAAGAATTCTATGGAATCTTGAGGTACAAGAGTTAATTCATCTTCGTTACAAGGTTCATAACTGTATAGAACTTTACACCACCTCCTTCCAGATCCCCCGTTACGCAAAGTAACTTCTTCTGGTTTTGTACTACTAACAGCTTCAGTTGTGCTCGCTCCACTTGTCGGAGATGGATCCAATACCTATCAATATATAAAAAATAATATATAGTACAATGAAAACTTCTAACCAACTTATAACAGCAAAGTTATAAGAAGTATAATGCACACCTTTACAAAATTATCAGGAAACATGCCACGCTTATCTCTTAAAGTACCTTCCCACCAACCACCCAACATCACTTTTATTTCTCTAATTATATCTCCCTTTCTGAGAGTTAATTCGTCAGGTTCTCTAGCTATATAATTATATTCTACAATCGCCTCCATCTTTCATTTATAGTTTATAATTCATGAATATATTAGGTCTTGCAATCTTATATCTGAAAGTACAATTAATTGATCTAAATACCGATTAAAAGAAAAAAAAAAAACATGTATCGAAATACATAACAATAGTAAGAGAAAAAATGTTTAATATTTTAAATAATCGTTTATAATACTTAAAATGTTCGTTATAATTTTCCTTCGATAAGATTTGCATTATTTAAAAAGAATAAAGATAGAAAAAATAATGAGATAAATCTGTAAAAGAATAACAATGCTTGGTAAAGGAATAAACACGCGTGACAATAGGTAGCATACGTATAATTAGGACGAGATGCCTGTCCGAGGTAATCATTCATCTATCGATCATTCTACAGTCTTCATAGTAACGTGCAAACTTACGAGCATCATCGTAAGATAATGTTTAGAAAAGTAGATGCTAGGATCGAAAAATTTAGGCGTATCCCAAACTCGATTGACAGCCCGACGAATCTGTCATAGTAGCCATCTTGGACTTAGGGAACTCGGGGTCAACTTCAAGATGCAATCTGGGTAAATCGCGCGTGCCAACTTCATTGGTGGTGATCGAATAACGCGCCAAATCATAATCTATACCGGTTTACTACTAGCATCTTAAAAGACTTCTACATTTGTAAAGAAAACTTGTTGAATAATATCGATAGATATTATTGTATTCGTTCTTATGAGTTATCGTAAATATACCATGATTAAGAAAGGTAAAGAAATATTATTATATATTTATTATTATCTTATAAAAAATATTCTTTATCTTTCAAAACTTGACTAGATATACTTACTTTCTCACTATCGTTTTATATATCGAGCTTGTTAATTATTGTTAACGAAATCCTCCAAGTCTCTTGACACAACTGTCTCTATTCCGATAACAATACGTTATTCCTCATATACTCGATGATTCATACTTGTAATCGATCTACTCTTATCAGGAAGACCTTACACGTATTATTGGCGTGTGAGGAATATCAATGGTCTTAGTTTAACTACCGTTGTTCGTATATATAGTAAGTAGTTATTTTATTCGATTGTATCATCTTCTGTATTCTAAAAGTCTTCTATTAAGTATCTTATAAATTATTCATTTATTTTTCAAAGAATTCAAGGAAGTACGATTTATCGTTTATAAATATTTCCATATGAAAACAAAAATATTCTTATTTTTTAATACGTACGTGAAGTTTTCAAGAACTCGTCTTATCGTTAGCCTCGCTTTCTCGATACGAAAAGCGCGGTAAAATTTGAATTTAAATATATAATAAGTTTTCTTTAATGATATTTTTACTTTCTCTTAATAATAGTATATATATATATATATTTACATATAAAAGTCAAGTATCATAGGTAAAAAGTGTGCATCTTTATTATTTATTACTGATTCACACATCAAATTGTACAGTCGTTTCTACAAACATAAAGATTTACGAATATACATTGCGAAACGACGATGTGTGTCGAAAATTGTTGAGGTAACGAGCGCAACATAGTTCTATTGTCCTTGAACTTAACACTAATCTCTTTCTAATAAAGACAATATAAAAGAAAAAGAATATTACATTACTACGTGCGTCGTTTAAAATGAAATTACAGAAATATATTTTTCTTCTCAATAAAAAAGAAAATCCACCATTAACGTGAAAATCTTTTCTCTTCGGAGAGAATTCAAAAAAGAACAAGAAATCATGAAAAAAGGCTTTCTTATTTCTAAAGCAATGCGCAAGAAGATTGTTGACTACTCTTACTCCGTAAACATTTTTTCCTTTTTTTTTTTTTTTTATGTTTAACACAAACCGTAAACGGGGTTCACTTTGTTCCGAAATATATTTTTTCACAGGATAAAAAGTTTTTGAAAAAATTCATTTATAGCATCTTTTAAAAACTTCTCAATTGAGATTGGACTACAAGATTCAAGCGATCATTTTGTTTAAATATGCGAAGCATGAATTTTCCAAACTATTTTAAAATTTATTCGGACACAAGAAACCCCCATTTGCGGATACTAAAAGATTCATTTAAAGTTCGAATAATAATAAAAGGAAATAAACGTGTATATATATATATATAAGGTTTTCTAAGAGATTTCTACTCACGAAGACCAGCTTCGTAGAAGAAACGAAATGTCTTGGTAAGAAGAGTAAGAGAGGAGGAAAACGATCCAGCGTTTTTTTTTTTATAACCAAAAAAATAAAACATAAGCTGTCCTACCGGCGCAAATTCTTACAAATTGACATCTCTCTCTCTCTCTCTCTCTCTCTCTCTCTCTCTTTCTATATCATTTTGTTCTGGTCTCTTTATAATTTTTATATTTCATACTTATATGTGCGTTTAAAATAACGCAACGTAACATAATTCGATGAATAAATGAGCAGAAGAACGTGTATTTGGTATCTACTCAATAATAGTAATTAGAAATAAAGAATTGTAACTTTTACTCAAGACTCTATCGATTATTGATTGTTATCAATAGATCGTAAGTGATCACACTAACGAGAAAGAGCATAAAGGCTGTGAATTTATCAAACAACGGTCAAAAGAACCGAACTTCTGTTACGTTTTTGCTTTTTTCCATACTTCCTTCCTTTATTCCTATCTTTCTTTCTCTTTTTATTTATATAAATCTCCTCTATCGCGAGTTATAAACATATAAAAGCAACAAAGATATACGACTGTATCGTGTAACACGCACATATGTGTGTGTGTATGTATATATATATATATACTCCTTTAATGCAAATAGTACAAAGCCTATAATCGTAATCGTTACGCTTTTGCATTGATATTGCGAATGCGGCTTCAAACGAATGCTATATTTATATTGAAATTTTATCGGGAAAAAAAATCCCACTTTTAATATTTATAAATCTTTACTTGCTCGTTATGAATTCGATCGATCGAGGATCATRCTCTTGTTTTTCTTTATTTTTTTTAACAATATCAGCACTCTACCTTCGCAACAATGTGCAAACTCGTACACGTAATCTTCAGTCAATTTATTCCTTTCTTCTTTTTTTTTTTTTTTTTTTACATATGGTCAAGTGCAAAGAGATTAACACCGCTGTGCGCTTGTGTGGTGTGATTGTGTGTTGTATGTGTGCGAGCGTGGGTGGTTGTGTAATTCGTAATCGCTGGTACAAAGTATTTTTGCTGCGAAAAAATCGTAACTTTTGGTCAATTCTTTTTTTCTCTTTCTCTCTCTCTCTCTTTTTCGGCTTTTTCTTTTTTTTTACATTTTCTTTACTACAAACAGCTATTTTCTTATTTCCTCTTATACTTTCTTTTTCTTTCTTTCTTTCTTTCTTTCTGTCTCTCACTCTCTCTCCTCTTCCTCCTCCTCTTTTTTTTTCTCTCATTTTCTTCATCTTTCTCTCTTTTTCTCATCTTAATAATCGTTGGTAGGCACAATAAAGGCGTATTTATCATATTTCATGTCAGCTTTTTAAACGAAGATCGCGAACAGGAAGTGCGTGTTATCATCTTAACGTTATTTAAGAATTTCTATCATATTACGAAAATGCGATTGTGCGGATTAATTAATTTACGCATCATCATAATCACTAAAACGTGCTTCATAATAATACGTTTATTAAAGATTGTAACGTATCTCCTAATTTATTCATTTATTTACTTAATTAATTTATTCATTCATTTTACTTAATTATTTCTCTTATTCCTTTTGAGTAAATTTTCTCTCAAAGGATGATGCAATTCTAGTGCCGGCGTTCGCGATTGTCGATCTCGATCGTCGTTCTTCGTTATTATTTTTTCTTTCTCTTTACAGATTATTTTCCTTTCTTTTTCGACGTAAACTAAGAAAAGTTTTTATTCTCTATCCTCTCGCCATCGACGTCGTACTAATTGTTAAACAATTATTCAGAAGAAGATCGTATTCGAGTATCTACCCTGGTAGCAAAAAATATTGAAAAATATTGAACACATGCGTATTTAATATTAAAAAGAGATTTAATGTCTTTTTAATATTAAATACATATGAATTCAATATGTTTCAATATTTTGTGCTACTAGGGTATTTGACTAAAATTGATAATAATAATAATAATAATAATAATAATAATGGTAATAATAATAACAACATTAATAATAGTAGTGAATATTTCCCGTTATCTATTCGTCATTACTTTGCTTGTGTCATCCAGTTTGCATTCGAATAACTTCATCGATATTATAATAAGATGACAAAATTTCACTTTTTTCATTATATATTATACACGTAAGCATGATGTTCAAATTGTCAGTAATATTAAAATAAGTCGAATGCAAATTGAACGATAAAACAAAATAGTAACAGACAAATACTAGAAAAGATCTATAGTTATAATAATAATAATGATAATAATAATTTATATCAAATATTGCACCATATATTTCTCTCCTACACAATCTGGTCTTTAATTCTGTACAAAAAGACCACCGTATTTTCAAAAACGAAAGTTCTCGAACATTTCGAGATTAAGGTAGAAAAATGACGGACTTATTCTAACTTATTGTTTGATCATTGTTAGTAACAAAAAAAAAAAAGAGAAAAAAGAAAATAAAATAAAATGGTCGAGAACTTTCATTTTTTTTCGATGGACGAATAATGCAACATGAAAAGTTCGCTGGATTTACCGCAGTTCTTCTTTGCTATTATTGTTACTGCTAATTTTTTTAGTCGTTCATCTTTCTCTCTCTCTCTCTCTCTCTCTTATCTTTTTTTCTTTCAATGATTATCAAAGCGCTTCAATCAAATATCGCACGTACATAGTGGCACGTAATTGGACACCGTTGACAGCGTATCAGAACATATATTCTCTCTTTATTCTTTTTACTTCTTTCTTTCTTTCGAATAAAAATTGTTATACRCTAAGTTTCTAACTAAAATCATTCGATAACTTTACTATCAACGTCATTTTTGTTGTTTAAGTAAGTATAATTTCGGGCGTACCAAAAGCGAAAGCTATTATTTCTTATGAACACCAAGAATTGTATCGAAATGATAATATATATAGATATGATATAATCTACTACATATATACGTATATATGTATGTATATATAATGTATATATAAGCTGTCTCATTTCAGTGAAACCTTTCGAATATTTGTGAATCATTAATTATATAAAAACGATTTTGAAAATAAAATTTGTATAGTTCACATACTAGGGATGTTCGAGGTACATCCTGTACATATATATGTAGATGATGTTCGAGGCACGATCATTCAAAAGAATCGTTCTCATAAAGATATTTAAAATACCTACGTAATTTTAAATTAATTTTTTCTTCTCAAAACATTATTCAGATTAATTGGAACGATCGTGCAAAATCATATACGACAAGTTGGGAAATTGTTATCTAGAAACTTCCAAAATAAGAATCAATTATTATCGTATTGGTTCCATTATCTTCACAGTTGATACATATACTTAATCGTAAGTGTTTTTTCTTTTGTTTCTTCTTCTTCTTCTTCTTTTTTTTTTTAATCATCTTGTAGTGGAAACTTTTCTTTCTTATTTTCTTTTTCTTATGTAATCACAATGTACTTTAATTCTTTCACATTAGATGTATTTATTGAAATATCATGGAGTTAGCAGTGCACCAAGCGGCAAAAATATTTTTTTTACACGATATTATTGTTATAGACGACAAAATGTCGAATTAAAGTTTCGTACTTTATATTATTTTTAGGCCTTTCGATAAAATGTGCCATATTTTGCCGATTATTTCTGGTGTTCACATTCTTAGTTTCTTTCTTTCTGTTATTCAGGAATGTATATTGAACAAACTTTCATTCATATTTCAAAACATTAATCTTTTAATAACTCAGTGTTAATTTCTTAAAATTTTATATTTTTTGCATTTTTTAAAAATCTTTTTTACTATATCTTCTTTTCTTTTCTTTACGTACTATTGTAATTGTTTCCAAATATTTTAAAACACGAAATGTATATTTGCTGAGTATTATATATCTATTTTGTTCAACATGCCCCGTTCATTTCTTTTTTCTGTCCATTTTTCATTTCGGAGTAATAAAAAAGAAATTGCAATTTTTTCTTCTTTCTTTCTCTCTTCCTCTTTCTATCTTTCTCTAATTGTTTTTCTCTGTGGTATAATTGTAGTAATAGTATTAATAGTATTAATACAATAATGCGCCCTGTGCGAAATGTATGCATTTGTTTACATATGCATTTAAATTCAGCGGAGCAAAAGAAATATTTTGCTTGTCACTCTTATAATTTATTTATTTATTTATTTATTTATTTATTTATTTACGTACTCATATCTGATAAAATGCGCGATATATCGAAAGTAGTACGAAAAAGCTTACGGTGGCAAGTATAGAGCGATACGAATGACATTTCTACAAAGAGTTGAAAAATTCTCTTTTTCGAAATATCATCAAATGTGTGTATATGTGTGTTCATGTACGTATGTATGTATTCATATATATATATATATATATATGTATATGTATGTATGTAGTGCAAGAAATTGATTTGGAAACATGATAAATCGTGAGATAAGATTTTACGAAATTCTAACTGCGGCCAGTACTAAAATGTAAATGCCTGATTAAAATTCGTTTAAGCCATCAGTACTTCACGACTTCATTTTATTTTATTATAATTTTTCTCTTTTTTTTTTGTTTAATTTCAAAATCAATTTCTTTTACTTTGTATGTGTCGATTGTCGATATCGACACAGCTATCACAATTAATTTTATCTTTAGCATAAAAAGGCCAAGGAGAAAGGATTTGTCATCAACGTTTCTTTTTCTCTAATATAATTTTGCCATTTTTGAACGTTAATTATTTTTTTTTTTAAGCATTTTCAATTAAACGATCAAATTTGAAGAATCAATTATTTTTACTGTTCAACTGTTTATCATTTTTATGTACCACACATTTAAAATTTAATACTAAATTAGAATATCGAGTTGATAATGATTTATTTTAATTGTACAAATCCAGTCTCCTTAATCTTTCGGTTCTAAGATTTTGATCGATTTTCTGGATCAACAGTGAACTCAGAGATCATGAGCATAAATGATCCATCAATTCTTTCGATATTCTGTGTTAATCCAATCTTACGATTCCTCTTTCGAAAGTATCACACTTTCTATCTGTCTGTCTCTCTTTTTTTTTCAATTTATACGTACATATTTCATCTACGTTAATACCATAATTTAAATAATCTTCGCGGATAAGTTTTAGCATAGAGTTTCGATGTTTAATAAGGAAATTTGAGGTTGTGACGATCCTAAGTAATCGCCGAAGTGACAGCACGATTTAGATTAAAATGTGAACGTTCGTATCGTATGAACGATTATTATTATTATTATTAATATTATATTATTATTATTATTATTATTATTATTACATACGCGAGCGGTAACTTTAAAGTTACACATATCTGTTTTTTTTTGCTTAGCCACGTTATACGATTCGTCGTATGCTATACGTGTATTTATGTGTTTACGTGTAAGTGTATACGGTATATGTGCAGAATATTTTTTTTAATTTTTTTTTTTTTTGTTTAAGATAATATTAGTCACGATTTATTTTAATTCAATAGCTACTTGTGTCTGTTTTCATTCTATTTTTCTCTCTCTCTCTTTTTTTTTTCATACGCGTTAACTCCTAAAAGTCCTTATTTTACTGACTTTTCGATATACCATATAAGGATTATATGATCATAAGAGCAACGTAACTACGCGTACGTTCCCATAGGGAGAAGCGAATAAAATTTATGTCCAAAAACAAATACTTCCTTTCTTTCCAACCTGAAATATATCGGCGACCAATGAGCGATTTCCTCGTATTTTTTTTTTTTATTTCCCTTCGTTCTTTCATTCCTATAAGATGACTAACAGGTGCATCTCCAAGCGTCACCCTGTTGAGACGGTGATTGAGCTTTTATCACACTGTCGGCACCTTCCCTTTCCGATGCTTCGAACAAACTAGCCTGAAAATATTATAAATATTATAGATTATAAACGAAAGAAAATATAAGATAAAAATAAAAAGAACTCACTCGACGTCCTCGTTGTTCTCGTATTCTCCTAGCTAAAGTTATAAATGCTTCTTCGATATTTATATTTTCCTTACAGGATACCTCGAAAAAAGGCATATCAAAATTTTCTGCTATTTTCTGACCTCTTTCAGCATCTACGGCTCTGTATGCGGTGGCATCGCATTTATTAGCCGCCAATACTTTGACTACATCCGGTGAGGCATTCTATAATAAAAAAGAAAATTAAAAGAATTAATATTATTTTATTTTAAAAATTGATCTCTCAATCGATTTCATATATCTACGATTAGACACTAATCTGAAATCGGGTGTAAAATATTTTTTATAATTTTTCATAAAATTAATCAATGAAGTTTTAATCAAATGATTAATGAACTATGAAAGAAATATAATATTCTTTATTTTATCCTTACTTCCTGAATATTTCGAAGCCAATAAGACAGATGATTGAAACTGTCCATACTGGTGACATCGTACATTAGTAAGATACCCATAGCACCACGGTAATACGCTGTTGTTAGAGTTCTAAATCGTTCCTGCCCAGCGGTGTCCCTTTAAGAGAGAGATAGAGAAAGAAAGAAAAAAAGAAAGAAAAAAACATTTTTATTAAAGTTTATATTATTTATTTAATAGCAAATTTATCGCTGTCGTTCGATAGAAAACCGATAGCGTGTACGCGTGTTGGAAGTAAGTAGTAATGCCTCGTATATGTCAGACCAGATGTCGTCCAACCATACCGGTCCATTTCTACTTCTTTCGATAATAAAACTTCAACGATGCTATCTTTCCAACTTTTACGACTACCTATACGTACGATCTGTATATTTATGTTGTCTTGTTTCTTTCTTTCTTTCTTTTTTATTATTGTATGTGTATACGTGTAACGCGCGTTTATGTATAATTTTTTGTTTGAAACGAATATTAGAATCAAACAATCTCATCAATCGAGTTTACTTACCAAATTTGTAATTTGATTGGTGTACCGTCCAAGTTAATAATCTTCTGTTTGAAATCAATACCTGTGGAAAGTTTTTTTTGCTTTCGTTATTTGCAATTAATTTTAATAACAATCGCGCGCACAGTGTTTGTATAGGTGTGTGTACATAGAGATTATTGATCAAATCAATCGATCGAAATATATCGAGAATAACTATATTTTTACAAAAAAGCCCTCATATTAAAGTATGGAAAAGAAGTCTTACTGTCTCTAAGGATATACTATTACACCCAGAAACCTCTTTGGGACATCTCAAGCATAGGAGGAGTAGTCTCTCGAGAAATATGAGATTGCTTTAACAGGCGTAAGCGTAACAGCTGCGACTAGAACGAGGGTTGAATAACGAGATGACACTCGAAAGATAATCAGCTGATCGTTGGAAAAGTTCTATTTGTCAAATGGTTCAAATGAATGATCATCGTTAAACGCGTTCTATTTTTTAATTTTAATATCTTTTATCTCTAAATACAAAAAAAAAATAAATAAACCGGTATTTCTAGGATTACAAAATTATCGTGATAATAATGAAAAAGAAAAAGAATAATAAAATTAACGTCTAATTTATATAACATTGCTTATAGAAAGTTAAGACCATTTTTCTAGGAAAAGTCCATGTACATGGACAAGTATAGGAGGGAGAAATAGAAAGGAAAATATCAGGATAAGTCCAGCTATAGTAGCGAATCCTTCGCTGAGGTCATGGTATTGATAGTAGCTAGGGATGATTAAAATATTGTCACTTATTTTTATAATTATCACTAATGATTTTGATCAAAATGTTGATTAAATTGGAAACTGTTGTTTCTATTCACATAGGAATCAACGAGAGGCACACTGGAGTCACTTGGTGGTGAATATAGAAAAAAAGGAATGAATAATCCGGGTGTTGTAACATATCGTGTTGCGAACGTTTGCCAACTCGATTATTTAGTATCCTCTCTCTTGTGTTTTCTCACCTATCGTCGATATATAAGTATCGTAGTATCTCTCGTCACAATAACGATGAACGATGCAAGTCTTGCCGACGTTCGAATCTCCTAACACGAGGACTTTGTAGGTGGCTGCGAAATCAAGCGCCATGTTTACTGCCGAATCGCTTTTGAACTGTTGTTGGGTCGACAACAGAGTCGTCGGCCTAAGGGTTGTCCCATGAGCGTTCTTACTCAGAGGGGGTTAGAGGATCGATTCCGAGCCTGCGCGTCTTTTCCTTCGCTTTTAAAGGAGACTTCACAATTTCTATCAACCTTACTTATCATGCGCGATACTACTCTACCTGTATGTGTTTTTTTTTATAGGCTTTTATAGTCATCGTCTTTAATCCTTCAAAAACGAAGAGAACGAATGTTGCACTACCTCGGTTATTAGTAGTACTACTGTCGTACATACACGAAAACTATGTGTATCAATGTTTATGAGTCCCAAATCGATGCTCTTAAAAGCTTCCTGGTGATCAAGAGCTTGTATTTAAAATTTCAGAACTCTGAGGAACTCGATAGATCATAATATTTTGAAGTATTTAATAGTTGAAGTTTCATGCACTAATAAAATTGTTTTTTTTTTTTGTTTAAATTTTAATAGTTCATAAGAAATAATAAAATAACTTTAATGAAATGATTTATGTACCTACATCAAATTGATTTATTATTAAACAATTTTAAGGCAAAAAATGATGATCGTCTTTCGAGTATATCCTTATATGAAACTAGGGTAACTTTTACGTGACCTTACTAATTGTATTCACAAGACCCTAGGTCAAGTTTTCTCTCAGGATGTTCAAGTAAGATTGCACGAGTTCGTTCATTTTTTTTATTTACTTTTTTTTAATCGTATTTCTCTTAAGTATAACTAAAATTCCTCTATCGATCTATGATCTAATCTAATACGGATAAAAAAAATTAAACATTATTTTTTCTTCTTTTATTTGATCTTTGAACGTATATTTTTGTAAACCAAACATCTATAAAAAGTAAGTAATATAAATATTGCACAACATTGCGTATGTTTTCATATATAATAATAATAATAATAATAATAATAATAATAATAATAATAATAATAATAGTAATTAAAAAAAATAATAATAATAAATATAATGCAATTTATTATTTTTTTCTTTTTTCTTAAAGATTCACTACCTTTCTTAATAATCATTTTTCATTAAAATGTTTTAGGCTTTCCTATCGAAATGTATTTATTATTTATATATGCTACAAGATATTTTTTTTTTTATAAGATTCTATTTCAATAACAATTACAATAACAACATTAGAATATTCATTTCGTTTATCTCTCAGTATTCATAATATTAAATATTTTTTACATACCTATTCAAATTTGTTAATTAAATATCACGTACAATTGTGTGTTTAAATAATATTATAACATAATAATATACAATATATATAAATAAATAAAACATTATCGAAAAAATTAAGCTTTGCTAATTTTAATCGAAATAATTATAATTATAATTATAATTGTAAATGAATGTTCTAAAAAGTTTATCACAAAAAAATCTATTCATTATAAATGAATATAACGCATTAAATGTTCCATTAATTTTTTGGTTTAATATGCAAAAAAATACCAAATTAATGAGAAAGTAATTTATCTGTAAGAATGTTATTATTTATGATAAAATGTAAGATAATATAATTTTCTTGCATATTTTCTTATTACAAAAATTTTCTTTCTTTTGTTTTTTTTTGCTTTCTTCTTTACTTCACGTTTGTTGCATTATATTTCATTGCATTGTTGTCTTGGCACTTATATATGAGACAAACTTACAATATCATTCTGGCACTCGATATACAGACAATGAGTAACAGTAACCGATATAGTTACTGCGCAGTGTTGTTAGGCACTTCAAATATTAAGCCTCCTTTACCAAATATTCCATTTTCAATATAATACCAATTATACCGTGTTCACTTTGATATTACCTCTATTTTCTTATCTTCAACAGAGAGCATATTAAATGGATACACAATGATATGTTATCCCTTGATATCATTTTTCAATTGACTTTTATCCTTTTTCAAAATTATGATGATTTAATACTAATTACTATAAGTATAGCCACACTTATCGTGCAATAAATACATTCATAAGATTACAAACGATTTCACTGTTCATTCTAAATCCATCTACAAAATAACAGACTGCTAAGTTTTAATATATAGCTATTGTTTAAGATAATGAAAGGGGGGACGAAATATTATAAAAATATTAATGATGTGAGGGTAACTCTAAAAACTAAGATATTTTTTTAACAAAATCATATTTATCATATCATATCTGTTTAAACTACTTTTATAGCCATTTGAAAAATTATCTTTTATTCCAAGTTAAAAGATTAATATATACTAATTAGTTAAGAAATGTTTTTTCTGAAGAATTCTATATACATGATATGATTGTGCTAATAGGGTAAAACGCAATCTATGGAAGTCATAAGTTGTGTCACTTACATTCCTACGAATACAAAACTAAAAAGCGTTTATCTAATATATTCTACTTAGAAAGGGAATAAATGAATGTAACTATTTGTACTATTGAGGTAACAAAAATATTTCAAATGATTTTGATTTCAAATCTTTGGATGTTTCTTCTACATATCCTACAAATACGCTATTTAAGCTAAAATTTCAGTCAAACATCAAAAATATGATATTTTCAATGAAATAAATAATAGTATTATTTTTTGATCGCTACTTGATAAGTGTTCACAATTAGTATCATTACTTTCAATCGAAACATTAAATATTAAAGTTATGAGATTTTTGAAAAGCTTTTTCAAAAAGCAATAGAAACATAGAAACAATGAAGATATTCTTCCTAACTTTGAGGACACTACCACGTTTTGAAGTTTGATTTACCATGTTATAAAATGGCACAAACACATAGTCCTATTAATATCATGCCTAACATATAAGCAAGATCTCTTCTAATGCTAGGATCTCGTGTACTAGATCCTGGAAGATTATAAGCATTCTTCCACTGCATGGACCACAGAGGAACAGCAACATGAAGAATATCAGGGATCATAAATCCCAAATCTCGTACAACCTATTCCAATTACATATCATGGATATGAAATGCCCACATCGATAATGCGAGTTTCCTTTAGTATTGTACTATTTATAGACATCTACCAAATCTATGTGTATATATTTAAAAGAAAACACATCGATTTACCTGGTGAGCATATCCTTCTCCTCTTACAACATTGGCAACGAACTGATCCCAACCACCGGCTACAATATGCAAAATTGCAATGGCAATTATTCCAAATGCTTTTCTGTGAGTTATAAGATGTTTTTTGTCTGCCAAGTGAACAACCAGGAAGGTTGATATCAACTCAGTGATAGAAAAAAATAGTTGATGATACCACTGAGAGTAGAAATCGTCGTTCCAATAATTAATATACACCCACCATGAGTAATAATGTGAGAAAATAGCGGTTGAAAAAAGTAACATCATACTATGTCTGAGGCGCTGTTGAAACGCCAACCATATTAAGTACTTAACTGTTTCATAGAAAGTAACAACACCGATAACTATGGTAATCCATATTTTTAAACTATTCATAGTAGCATTAAAGTACATATGCTTATAAGAGGCAATTCCTGATTCATATGATCCTATAATAAAATTTGATTATAGAGTATAAAAGACAATTATATCATAGATAGCGTCTTACCTTTAAACACCGTATCCCAGCACGAACATGAACAATATTGTTTGTCAACATCACGTGTGTATTCTTGCCAAAAATAATATAAAAAAGCTATGTGTAAAGGAGGTATTGTTAAGGGTGCCAAAATTCCTATGGCCTTCGAACCGCATAATACAAAATTTGTATATAACAAACGTTTAAGCATCTTTGAGACACCCATAGGTATAATTTTATCAAATCTCTTTTTAACATTAAATTATACAATTTATCATAAGCAAATATTTTTTTGCATCATAATAAAAATTCTGAATTTGCAGCAAATACTAGATAATTACATATTATGTAATATAAATACCGTACAATTAAATCTCAGATATGTGTGTTGTAGAACACAAATATTTACAATCCATTTGAAATAAGGCTAAACGATATTATTTATTTGTACATTATGCATTGTAATAATGTACCACTTAAGCTTGTCTGTAAGAGTTCTCTCAACGAACGCTATCTCCGATATAACATCAATTCTGTTCCAAGAATAATCCACATTTTTGTGCATTGCACGTATTATTTATAGTCACGTTAGTCGAGCATTAGAATCATCTCTTATAATATAGCCAATCTCATTACTTCATGATTACAATTCTAATTATAAGATTATAGTCATATGAAAAATTGTTAATTTCACATTAATCGTATTAAATAATAATTAACTTCATCATCAGTTTTATACACTGATAATAATGCAATTCTTTTCAAGTAAATGTACTTGATTAAAGGAATCATAATTAATTTTGATGTTATTTTATTCGTCTCATTCACGCTGTACACATAATGTTGTACGACATGGAAGGTAGGTTCTATAAATGCTCACCCCCTAGTTTATCTATTATCCCTTGTCGATATATTCATTCATTTTTGTATAAATTTACTTAAATGTTCAATCATATTCGTTCTTATTTATTAAATCCTTAGAAATGGACACTAACACGATTTTCTGAATCCAGGTCAAGGAATTGATGTATTTTCGCCGCGATTTTTGTACCCTTTAATTTCAAAAAATATTACTACGAAGATCACTTGAATAACAAGAGATGGCGCCAAAATTCAAATTATTAACATTATTAAATTTAAACATTTATTTTATTTCAGGCTCGAAAAATTAGTTAGTATATTCATTAAAATCATACAGGATATTTAATATATTAAATTTTTAATAAAATTCATGATCAATCCATGATTTTATTACTTATAAATACAAATACATAATAAAAGTTAAACGATTCGAGATTAACTAATTTAAACAATTTAAACGGAGATCTACTATGAAAAGGTAAGATTAATGTGACATATTAATCAATCAATCATCGATTTATTTTATAAATTTGTAAATTTCTCGAATAAACAATTCTTTTTATCAGAAATGAATACATAGCAAGAAATAAAAAAATTGTTATAAATAACGAAGTTCGTTGCTTAATAGTCATTTTATTGAATAATCGATTAGACGAAAAGAACTTATATAAAATAAAAACAGAATAAAAAAAATTATTAAAACTTACAAAATACTTAAATCTTAATTAATGATCGAATTACATTAAATACGTGATTTGTAAAAAATTGTTTCCCTGTGCTTCTTTCAATACAAAAGTAAACATTACTAGCTTGGTTATTTTATTAAATAATTAAATACAAAAAATTAAATTTTTGTGTAAAATATATATATATTCCTCTTCCTTGAGATAATATTAATATTTAAAAAATTATGAGAGAGAGAGAGAGAGAGAGAGAGAGAGAGAGAGAGAGAGAGCATATGCACGGCAAATCACATTTTATTATCATTTCTGAAATATAGAATTCGATTTTTTTTTCTTTTTTTCTTGTTAAATTTTATACTAAGATGAGAATGGTGATTATCATAAATGTCGTATTCCAGTAACAATACGATTTAATAATATTTAATAGGTTTGCAGTATCCAGTAATGATAGGAAGATTGAGAATCGGGTGTATTATAAAATACAAAATGATTTAGTCTTATATAATTTACGTAAATAATGTAGATAATTTTTTTTTTCTTTTGCTTGGGTTTGTTCTTCCTTTCACTTTTCTCTTTTAAATCAACTAAAATAGTGATTTCCGAATATATTATCATGTTACTGCGAAATATGAATTATGTATGGACAATCAGTGTGATATAGGTTTGCGTTTATATATACTTTTACACATATTTCAAGTCTGCATTGTTCCACAAGTTGTCTTCTTGTTTCATTGAATAATATGCACACATTAATTGAAAATGAATGAATTTCTTCTCTTAACCTTAGTTACTACGTTCTGTACCAGAGAAATTGTTATTAGAAATTTTGGATTATTATTTACATTTACTAATGGCTTTAACTGACTAATTATCTGATTTAACCCTAGGACAGATTAGAATACAAACGTATTCAAAATTGAAAAAGAAAATCTCATAAATTATAATGACAATTCTTTGTTGTTTCTTTTCTTCTTTTTTTTTTTTCTTTTCTTTTTTTTTTTTACAAGATTTACAGTAAAAAATTAATCGAAATAAATACTGTTCAATACGACATATATGAAGAATAAAAATATAAATATCAAATGGCTATACGTATGTTCATTAAAATTATAACTCGATAGAAAATATCATCAAGAAATACTGAAGTATTTAATTCATATTCTATAATAATAAAAATAATAAAAATATCTCGCGATTATATAAAATTATTAAATTGTTGATTATTTGCACACAACAATTACGTAATGATTATTAGTCTTAATTTTAGCAGTCAGTTGTGTGAAATATTAAAACGAAATGTATATACTAAATAATGATTATTATTGTAATTATTTTCATTTTTCTAATTTTATTCGAGCATCTCTTTCTTTTTCTTTCTTTCTTTCTTTCTTTCTTTCTTCCTTCCTTTAAAGTAAAAAAAGAACAATATCATTGTTTTATATATTTATTGCGAAACAGTGAATAAAAAAAGTTGCATTCAATTCCAGCATATATATATAAAATTGTTGAGATATTCTGTACAAATACACGTATCGTGTGCCACAAAAATGGTTGCACACCTTTAGAGCAAATTACAAATTGCACTCTACGTTATACAATTAATCGCTTTTTAATACGCGCATGATATTTATTAATGATGGTATGCCTGGATAGTCCTAGGGTTAAATAAATTTATAATTGACGTAACTATTTTGCATTTCTGAAACCTGCTCAGATTGAATTAGATATGTAGAAAGAGTGTACCGAACAGTAGTCACATAAGGATTGTTTTTATTCTTATTTTTTCTTTTTTCCTTTTTTAAAATGAGAATGAAAAAAATCACAAAAATACCTATTTGTTCTTTTTTTTTTTTTTTTTATATATTCATAGGTAATCAATAAAATCTGAGCCTATTTTATTTAATTCGTTATTTTCTTCATGTTTTCCATTTTTTTTTTTTACTTTTCCTTATATCATTCTTTTCTTTTCATGTATCTTCAAATAATAGATAATTATAATTTAGCAGTCTTTACACACATTATTCTCTTTTATGAATTGACAACAAAAGCTAACAAGAATGATAACACATTATGCAAGTACATGAAGGTTAAAAAGAGAAGTTTTGATAATGCGATGAAAATAATATAACTTTGTTTCTTTTCTGTTGTTTGTTTCAATGACATTCTTTGCACTTGTCTAAAGCATATCAAATATTCTCTTTGATTACACTGTTTCATTTTCGTAATTATTTCTCAATTCTGTGTTTTTTTTTTTTATCTTTTAAAAATATATACAGAAGCGCGTATTCAATGTCATAATTCTAAGATACATCTAATGCTTAGATTAGAATACTCTTAAAATGGTGTACTAATCTCAGCTATACGCCAAAATATAAGTAAAGTGTTCTTAAACTAGTAAAATACAAATTAGTTTCGTGTTGTACACATTTTAATTGGCTAATATATTTATATGTATCTTAACTCTCTAGTTAACCTTCTTGTATGTGTAGCACACATTGCCACGCATTCTAAGACATGAACTTCCTAATAAGCTGGTTAAAAGAGAGCATAGACCAGTGTGCCAGGTACTTATGTGTTAACATTTTTCACTGTTATAGCTAAATAGATATTATAATATTAGAAAGTATATTATTATTGATCTATTGTACTTAACAAACTGTTTGCGCTGCTCCTTATACTTTATTAAGTTTCTGATTTTTTTTTTTTTCATATCTGTAGCTATAAAATTTTTTTTTCTTTTTTTATTTCTGCAAATTCTTTTGTAGTAGAAAGCAAAAAATAAATTGACCTTCCTCGGTGTAGCTATGTCTGTATATTCTACAGAATAATTTAAACCATCTCGTAAAGGATTTTAGGTACGCTTATTTCTATCTTGATATTTTAATGATCCATTCAATGCACAGTTAATGTTTCAATAAAAATTTCATAAAAATGAATACATCACTAAGTCCAATTTTCTTATATTTTTTTTTTTTTTTTAAATTTTATATTCCTTCCTTTTTTCTCCTTCTTACTTATTTTTTTAATTCTTTTTTTGTAATCCAGTTCAAATATATGTTAAAAGTTCTGTTTATAGTAAATTTTTACATCATGAGGATTATATATGTATGTATATATATACATAGATATATATATATATATATAAAATTTATATGTATATATAAAATATATATATATACATACATATATATATAAGTCGGATATATATATATACACATTCAAATCACTCCTTTCTATGATTAACTTTGTTTTCTCTGATTATTCTCATGAATGGCTCAATCAGGATTCTCATTATTACAACACATGCATGCTGTTGTCCTTATAAAATGCAGATTTTTATATATCTTCTTACTAAGATTCACGTTTATACAAAAAAAACCTATCCACGCGCTACACTAGTAGTACATACTCATTCACCCCCTATACACACACACGCGCACGCGCGCGCGCGCGCACACACGCACGCACACCAGTGTCATGAAAAGGAGTCATTTTGTATGCACATCTGATACAGCACCGATTAAAGTATTTTTTTTTTGTTTTTTTACTTTAATCAGCTCGTAACATTTATCACTTTCTCATTTTTCTTTTTTATTACACCCACCCTATTATCGTTGGGTTTGTTTTTATTATACATGCATCGATTTCTCAATACATGCTTTATTGATAGTAGATATACTGATTATAATCTAACATAATACAATTTAAATAAGATATAAAAAAAAATAAAATTAAAAAAATTGCATAGCCCAATGGTATAATATTACCAAAAGACATAGACACGTATAAAACTTTTTAGTGCAAATAAAAAACTTTAGATACTGGTAATTTTCAATTACAAAAATGTAATTTGTAATAACACTATCCTTACTTTATAAAATATTTATCGGAAATTAAAATAATAATAATATTAATAATAATATTAATAATAATAATAATAATAATAATAATAATAATAATAAAAAAGAAATTAAAAAAAGTACAAACTTTCATATATAGTATAGTATAAATTTTGATAGTAACAAAACTATATATACTTTGTCTTAAGATGATATTGAATTCTACTAATACTTAAAGAGAAACAAAAGAGGAGTTTAACAGTACTTGATTTTCAAACTCCCCATACGATATTATTAATTATAATAATTAATAATAATGAATAAAATTAATAATAATAATGATGTTAATTATAATGATAATTTGAATATCTTCAGTATACAAATAATAATACAAAACCATACAAAAAAAAAAAATTCTAACATATGACACTGAATTATATTGGATCGTTTAAAATGATAGATGCATAAGTGAGATAAATCATTATAGGTGGGTGTGAATGTACGTATGCATACATACCCCTTTCTCTGTATCTGTATAATTTTGCTTTCTCCAGCAATTAAATTTAATACCTTCCGACATGTTGATAATTATTTCCTGTATACAAAACTAAACTTGTTTAGCACATTTTTGCACTAAATTTAGAATACACAATTTCCGTAAGTCTTTTTCCCTGTAGAACACAATGTTCGTTTTCAAACGTTCGTTCGTCATCTTTTAGTTATCACAAATTATTGTTCCTCGTATTTATTATTGTTTCAAATATTAGCAGAGCTTAGAAGCCTTCCCCGTACTTTATATCAATGTAATTATAATTATAATTACATAGTCACTTTGTCCAAACATTAGTTCACACCAGGGACAGGCTGCATTTTTGGTAACTTTTCTTTGTCGGTACATATGTCTTTACCTGAAGTAAGTCCACTTTCTACCCATGAAGTCTTTAAAAAAAATATATATCAAATGGTATTATGAATGCTACTCCATAAGGCAAAAAGTAGGACTATGGATTCGGGGGTGGTGTAGTTGATGTTGTATGAGAAGTGGCTGATGCATTAGCAACGACTGTCGGACTGGCCGGCTGTTGCAATGGCAGGAACGCTGAGCCCAAACTTGGTTTTAATTGGAATGATACACATGGCTTCGAACAATACTCTAGTTTGCTCAAGTCAATCATAGGTCGCCTAAACAAATAAATAAAATTCGTCTTTCATTATGATATTTTCCTCTAATTAATCTTTAAAGATTATCGACTTGCATTTTTAAAATAATAAGATCTCAATTTTAAATCAAACCTTTCCAATAATTTAATAATTTAGTTCATTGAAAACTCCTACATTCTAATTTAGAAATCTAATATTTACCTCGTATCCTCTACAAATTTGAGGTTGACCTTCTCACAGCCATCAGGAGGTTCCCTTGCAAGGAACCTGTTAATATGGGGGGACGTTCCAAGACGACCTTCTCTATCTTGTTCAGGCGTTGATCCTCGGCTTCCACCTTAATAATAAAAGAAATACAAAATTACTAAATATTAAACTGTAATATTATACATTAAAACATAATATGATAAATCAAAATAAATTTAATTCTCTATGCATTGTATAAAACATTGTCAAAACATATATATATATATCCTATATATATAGGATATATATTACAAAGGCATGCTCATTAAAATTAGGATGCATTTGTACACTAACTGCATTTCTGTGCTATTTTTATATACGATCAAATAATTCATGTCTGTCAAGAATTTTAAAATAAATCTAACAAAAAGAAAAAAGCAATAACTAAATCATGATCTATGAAGTGATACATGGCACTTATGTTAGATATCTAAAAATGAATTATGTATTTTTTTTTATCTTAAAACGAATCATAAAATAATATTGTCATAAATGATATTTGCACAACACAATACGTTTTTAAAAGAATATCTAATAGCTATAACTATAAGATACTTTCAAATGTAAAAGTCAATCAGTTAGATTGCCATGCATTCATGTGATGGATTTTTCTCAATCATTTAAAAATAATTAGTTGTATTTTAAAGACGGTAAAAGCAATTTATTTTTATAAAAAAGAAAAAGAAAACAAAAATTGTTAAATATCATCGCGATTTTTTAATAACCAAAGACAAAATTAAGCGATGCAGTGAAATTCATACTGCTATATGCAATATTTAGGGAAATATGAATGAACATTCTACTATCTTGTCAAAGAAACTGTAGAATTAAATGAATTGCATTTGAATTCCTATCTGTGTGTGTGTGCTTTAGAAATTTTGAATAAATTGCTTACAATGTACATGTAGATATAATATAATGACAGATATGAGATGTGCACATCTGCAATATATTTAAAACAAACGCTTACACATGCGTGCGTATGCACTATGTGTTTAATAAATAATTGGTAGTATATATACACACACATATAAATAAATACATGTAGATATCACAGTATTTTCAAAACATGCTGTTTGTTATGAATAAAAAAATAAAATTATATTTAAAATCATAATAATTTCATTGCATGTTTTAGAAACACTGAGTATGTATATATGTGTACTATATTATGCATAGAGAATGTTTTAAGATTTTATTTAACATTTGTAGGTGTAGCTATTTTCTTTCCCATTATTTTATATAAATCATCTAATCCTACAAATGCATGTAATTTTTAAACAGACTCCATGTGTGTATTATATGTAATTATATAATAATATAATACTATATATAATAATAATAATAATAATAATTTATTATTTCTGATAAATCATTATTGAATAATTATATATTATATTATTATATAAATATAAAAGTCGAAAATCCTGCTACAGAAGAAACATTAAACAAATCAATTAGAAATCGCTTTAGTTTAACAAACAATCCGCAAACGTGCTCCAACCTTGGAAGAGATCACTAGGTGAACGGGAAGCATCCGTAAGACCAGGTATCAGCGGAGACTCAGAATTCCTAGATGGAGGGCCTGCCTCAACAGGCAGACACACACCGTAGTTAGTGTGTTATTTTTAGTTATTATATAAGTTAAATTAATTCAAAATCTATTAGTTATAAATAACAAAATGTAAATTTTCGAGAACGAAATTTATACTCTTATCAAATTTTTAATTGTATAACTTTAGCTTCTAATGAGAAACTTATCAACCTATTTATAATTACAAACATTTTGTTAAAAATTCGTTCATAAGTAACTAATAACTAAGTTATTTTTTCTAATTCAGAATATTTATCTGATATACTTGTTATTTCTATTGGTAGCAGAAACGTGATACTAATAATTGTAAGTAAAAATAATAAATAGAAAAAATAGATATATTTATAGATGCAGAAATAACAATGAATTACCTGAGGAGTAAGAACTGGAAGGAAGATCAGTAGCTGGTGTTTGTGTGTTGACACTACGAGTCGCCCTCAACAAATCTGCCAATGGTGCACGATGTCCTTCGGGTGTCATTTGCTCACGATACCGTGCATACTAATATAAAATAAAAAATGTATTTATATTATATTTTTATAGTCTAAGTTATATTATGAAATAATACAGTTAAATGTAAATATTTCAACGAAATAATACCTTATCTTCTATTGGGTGATCTGGATCATTAGTGTTTGAAGTAGATTTGAGTACTAATCCTTCAATTTCTTGATTCAGTCCTTCAATGGAAGAACGCATTGGAGGCCTCATTGGTTTAACGGGTATGCTCATAGGACTTGCTTTTGTATTCAAAGAAAGTTGATTGTCTAAAAGAACGTACACACATTGGATATGTTATACGTAAATAAATATATATTTAATGTATCATAAATGTTATATGCATTAATATGAAGTTAAATATTAGTTGCTAGAAATAATAAAAATGAGATCTAGAAATTCTACATACATATAGATGTTTGTGATGCAATGCTGGGCAAAAGCACAGAATGATCACCAGGAAGAGCAGGTGGTGGGCCACCAGGCATTATAAGGCCAAAAGCTGCTGTTCTTTCCCTACTACTAGTACTCTCTTTATTTGTACGCTGTAATCTATAATAATATCAATTATAATAAATAATACTACTTTTATACTAACTTAATAATATATCCTATTCATATTAGTTTGAGTTATGCGAAGTAATCAATTAATCATCATAGTTCGCAATAAACAATAAATAAAGAATGTTTAATAAAATATGTAGAATTAATGTGAACGGGTATGCATATGTACCTATGTCTGAAGTACTTTTCTAGCTTTTCATCTGTGGTAGATTGTTCTGTAGAATGACGAGTGTGCATCTTTCTTGTTTCAATAGACCATTCTTCAGTCTAAAAAAAAAAGAAAAGAGAATAACGAAAAAGAATAGAACTTATTGAAATGTACGTAACAGTAATTTATGATAAGAAACAGTAAGTCAACATATTAAATAATTGTAAGATAAAACAGCAAGGAACATGGAAAAGAAGAAAAATCTTGTATTAAAAAATATGCATCACAAGGAAATATTAAATATGCACACAGCAACACAACATCGAATAACAATTCTCAATAGAAATGTGATCTTAATTAATAAGCTGTATACATTTTGAAGCTTAAGTAATTTATATACCTGTGTAGATTTATCAACTACCAGAAGGCTGGAATGCATATAGTATGAGTCGCGAGGCCATTGGCCTTTTAAGTATATTGTATCCAAGGATGCAGTTCTACGGATATTTTGGTTACCACTTAGACTTTCACTACAGCGACCACTTAATGTTTTCGATTTGGCTGTAAACAAAATATAGACAAATGTAAAATAAATTTTCTTTTCAAAAATAAAATATATAGTGAAAGATATTCTAAGAAATATTATTGTCATGCTGTTATAGAAATCATCAATACAAACATGAAACATACAAGTCTATGGGCTTATATGTTACAATGAATGTATGCTTCAACCGAGCTATAAAGTGTATATTCGGTTTGTAGGGTAGAGTATATAGAACTGTTTAAACGAATATGAATAAAATTATTAATACAGAAATAAAGTTAACATGGTACCGAACTAAATATTCATATTCGGTTACCCAGTATCAACCGTTTTCCCAGAATATATCACAATAATAGAAAGGTGACAAATACAGAAGAATAAGTATTTCAAGTTGCAACAGATTGATAGAAATAATTAGAATAAAAAGCCAATTGTAGTGCTGCTAGATTAGTAAACAAAAGAAATCTATGGTGCTTTAATGATTATAGGCAATGTATAGTAATGCTTCAATATTATGCGTATACCTTTAACCTATGTCTCAAGAAATATCTTTTGATATATCGTAATCACATCTTTTCTGCAAATCTATAAATCATTCAAACGCTTACAAATACAATTATGCTCAAACCGCAACATTTACATTAAAAATTAATGACAGGTAATTAGTTTTTGATAAATTAAAAGAAAACATCTATATATAAACATTTTGTTGTTATATCCTTCTTTTCTCAAATAATATATTATTTGTTATCAACAATTATTTATTGTTTACATTAATATTTTCCCACAGAATGGCACATAATGATAAGAAGAAAAGGAAGTGTTTAGTAAATAAGATCATACAAAATCTATGTATACCTTTGTAGGAAAGAGAACCAGGGCTTCGCTGTCCTGAGGAAGCTGAAGTCTCTGGTGAAATCCGTGTCCGCCATGTGCTTGCATTTGGTGGTGACACGGTAGGACTGTTGCTATTACTTTTTCTTAGACTGCTGCCTTGTCGACCCTGCCGTAGCAAAGAGCTTACAGGCAGGGTGGCTCGCATTGGTCCTTGCTTTGATGTAGAGCATGGCGAAGACTTTCGCATGCGTTGAGACCCTGACATTATGTCATATAGGCTGATGCCACAAGATTACTCTATGTTCTTCTAACTTTCCTACTAGCAGTAGGTTATAAACATATGAAATATAGGCTGACTTATCGTTTGCCGGCGAAAACGACTATGACGACAAGAGAAATTACGAAGACGACGGCGTCAACGACGACAAACTGGCGTCTTTCTCGTAGTAGTATTTTTGTTCTCATGGACGAAGTGTCGACAGCAAAAGTAATATTAATGTGGTAAAAACTGTGATGATAGTAGTAGTACTAGTAGTTTTGTAATAGTAGTATTACGTGGTGGCCGTGTGATCGTGATGATAATAGCAATAATAACAATAGTGTAGTAGAGGTAGTATAATAGTAGTAGCGTTGGTAGTAATATTAGTATAGTAATAATTTTTGTAGTAGTCGTAGTGTAGTAGTAATTTTTGAGTAGTAACACTAATGTTGTGTAGTAGTAGTAGCAGTAGTACCAGTGTTGTGTAGTAGTAGTAGCAGTAGTAAAGAGACTGGTCGTGATAGTGTCATTTATATAGATGGTAATGATAATAGTAGTAGTAATGCTGGTAGTGGTGGTAATGGTAGTCGCGGTGGTGGTAGTATGGTGGTGGTAGTTGTAGTCGTAGTAGTAGTAATGTAGTAGTAGTAGTGTAGTAGTAATGTGGTGGGTGGTGGTGGTGGTAATAGTAGTAGCGTCGTAGTAGTAGTAGGAGTAGTAGTAACAGTAGTAGTAGTAGTAATGTAGTAGTAGTAGCAGTAGTAGTAGTAGTAGTAGTAGTAGTAGTAGTAGTAATAGTAGTAGTAGTAGTAATAGTAGTAGTAGGTAGTAGTAGTAGTGTAGTAGTAGCAGTCGTAGTAGTAGTATTAGACGTAATACTAGCAACGGCGGCAAGAGTAGAAACGAAGAAAAGCTCACCACTAACGGTAATGGTGAAGAGGAATTTTTGAAGCACAACGATAGCGGTACCGATGGTGCGACAACAATACTCAACGCGTCTTGTCTTGCTTGTCATTTACAATGTTCTGCTGCTAGCTTAGCACGCGCGTCACGTGACCGCCAATCCCGGCCGGTCATTGGTGCAGCGCGAACTCATGGAGCGTCGTATTACGCTCGAATATCGCGATGCGTTCCATTCACTAACACCGTAAGAGAGACACCGTAGGGCGAGCGTCCTATCGTCCTCTTTCTTCCACACTGCGCACCACTTTTCTCCTCTTTCTCTTCCTCCTTCCGGCGTCTTCTCTTGCTCGCCTTCTCTTTTCCACTCACACTTCTACACTTGTACTTGATCGCGTTGTTCGGAAGAAAGAAAGCTCGACGCCGTCGTATCCTCGAAGATGCGCGTTCCGTTTTGCTCGACTGTGCTCGCCTACGAGTGCCAGGATCGAAGAAAGTCCATTCGCGTAAAAGCCCTTTGATGCTCTGAAAGCTTTCGGATACTGTTTAGTCTGCTTGACTTTTTTCCCAAATGCTTTCTCTTCTTTCTCTTCTCTATTATTTTCTTTTTACTCGCTGTGCTTCGTCTTCTCTCTTTTATCGTCCCTATTCGCGCGCGCGCACTCTAGCCTGCTTATCGAAATGAATGCATCGAGAATCCTTTCCCTCGTTCAACGTTTCAGAGACTGATCGTGACTCGGTTCACGCACTTCCCGTACGGCGTACGAGCTGTACGCGCGTGTACAAGCGCGCACATACGAAAAGAGGAGGGAGCTCCGATTCCTACGACGACCACTACGCGCGTCAGGAATCTCTCGAGCTGAAGTGACTGGCTGAAATTACATAGCCACTTCGATACGTCGAGCTGGAGAGACAGAGAAAGAAGGCACCAGAGAAAGAGAGAAAGAGAGAGAGTGAGATAGCTCGAGTCAAATCGAATCGAATCGAAGATTTCTCCCGGCGTCTCTTCGCTACTATCTTTCTTATGACTTATATACACTAAGAAAATTCATCACCGCTGATACCTTTAATTACTTTTTCAATCTCATACTCGATTAAACTATCGCATAGATTTTTTATTTTTCGTTTATCTACTTTGCTACGATGATACAAAACGATTTAAAAGAATCGAAATGTTCGAGATATCAAATGGCTGATTTTTTGACAGCTCACATAAAATTCTCGTCGGTGACTGGCCGATTCTTTTCACTAGATTAATGAGAATACTCCGTTACGACGAGGGATGGCTTTATAGTGAATGTAATCGGTCAACAACGCCATCTGGAAAAAAATGCCTGCCAAAACACGTGCAACAAAATTTCCCGCCTATTATTTTTTATCACTCTGTTACTATAAATTTAGTTTTTTTTCTTTATACAATATTTCACAACAATATTTTTATCGGAGAGAAAAAAAATCTATAATCACTTTTTTAAATAAATTTTTTTTTTAAAGAAGATGTTTTTCATAAACAATTCCTTTTTTCAGATATGCGTATAATTTTTTTTCTGGCCTGCTTAGTGTCGCCATCTACAGATGATGCGGTTAAGATTTGTGGGTCAATTGACCATCAGTCAACTTCATATTGAAAATTTTTTACTAGATTTTGTTTGTTAAAATTTTTTACCATTTTTACATTGTTTATAAAGATATAGAATTATATATATATATATATATATATATATATTTGATTTGAAATAAAGATTAGAATGTACAAATTGATATAAAAATAAAACGATTTTTGAAATTTGTTAATGTTTTAGGTAAAAATTATTTTATTTTCAGAGTATCATCTTATGATGATAAGAAATTGTGTGCAGATGGATACGTTTTAATTCTTTTTTTAAATTGAATTATATTCTTAATCTTAAATAAGATTTTTTACCATCTACTACCTTTATATAAGGGACTACTATATGTAAAGGACTACCTTGAAGTAAAATAATTTCTTTTGAATAATAATTCGGAGAATAATTGCACTTAAAACTTCATATAGGATAGTTCGTATATAAATAATAAATAATTAAAATATTTTGACGAATAAAATTCTTTTTGTTACAAAAATAATTGCTATGTGGCAAAATAAAAATTTAGTGGTGTTGGAATAATAAATTAACGTAAATTTTGTATTTAAAGAATTCACATGTAAAATGAACGACAATTGTAAATACAAATAGCAAATGAAAGAATGAAATAAAAGAAAATTAATATTAGAGCAATGATATTTTGTGTAATCATGGCACCTGCCGTTTATTAAAAACAAATTTGATAGTAATCATAATTACAAACAATAGTAATGATAGTATAATTGCAAAATACGTTCGCGCTTTTTCTTGTCTTTATAGCATATTTGTTTTTTCCTTAAATCGATTAATTAATCCTCGGATTATCAGCATGTTGCTGCAACTTTCGACGATGTTTTTTTGTCAAAAAAATAAATTATACGTAAACTCCGAAGAAGCAGCCATTGTGTCATTCCCTTACCCTCTCACCCGGTTCTGTACATACATTGGAAGATAATCCGAGGGTTAATTTTTATTTTTATTTTTTTTTTTCAGATGTGTGTATTATGTTACAGTGATCATCGCTTGATTTTAAAAATTAATTATTTTACCACTTCTCGAAACCGAAAAAATATTGACCGATGAAGAACGGATTTTTTTTTTTAATTTATCTTTTCTTCTCATTTCTTGTTTTTTTTTTTAATTTTTTTCTTTTTTTTTTTTCATTGACGAGATGATTTATACGTTTCATCGCAAACCCGAGATTCCGTCGTACATAAGACATTATATTAATAATTTTAATTAATATACACACGTACACACATTTTGTATAATATATATATATATATATATATATATATATATATATATATATATATATATATATTATACTTATTAACTTATATATATATATATATTTACTTAATTATAATTATTTTTTTTATACATTCACGTTTTCTTGCGTACATACACGCGATCATACATACACATGTACATACATACAAACACACTATTTAGGCGCACTCCACGGAAACGAATAAATTCTTGTTATGAGCGAATAAAATATAATTGATACATATATATGTATATAAATGTATACATATATTTTTGTTCGTTTCTTCGGAGCGCTGAGATCTGCAGAATGTTTAGAACAATTTTCTATTGCCGATCTGACTGATTGAACGGTTACAGAAGTTTCAAACGAATTACCGAATCTTCTAAACGTCGAATGAGAATGATACTCCTGATAATATATATTATCTGTAAATATATCTATATATATATATTTATAGATAAGACGAAGTATTTTAGATTTTTTTGAACTAATTCATCGCTTGGACCAAAAACGTAGAATGATTTATTTTATTTATTTTGGAGACTTCAATGCCTGGCAGCACTAAATCGGTATCTCGTTCGACTTCTAATTATGAAAGTTACTATATATGTATATGACTGTGGTTAAAACGGATAGATACATGTATTTCTTGGTTTCTTTCTTTCTTCTTGTTATTTTTTTTTTTTCATTAGGCACTTAAATATCAGGATTTTTTTCGGGAATCTCAGGATCGAGGTAATATCGAACGCTTCATCGTTTCAAATATTTACAGTCTTCGGATAATAAATGCAAGTAAAAATAAAACAAAAATATTGTTAGGAAATAAAATGAGAGGAGAAAATGAGGAAAAGATGGAAAGAAATAAAGATATATATATATAGATAGATAGACAGGTATAGATGGATAGATAGAGAAAATAATAATTAAAAATATAGAGAAATAATAAAAAACTTTAGCAATTCTGTATACAGGATCAACGATATTTGTACAATATTAAAATGTTCTTATTTTGTTGTATCCCAAGAAATACAACTTTTCTTTCCATTATATTTTCCTATGATCGGAGACAGTGATAACAGAGTGATAACAGATAATATTATGCGTGTATTCACAAAGTCCAATTATAAAAAAAGAAAAATATTAAATATTGTTAAATATACCTAAATTTTTCGTTGTGAATAATAATTGACTGGCCTTCATAATATTTCATAATTCATACTAAACCGATGTATATATATTATCGATTATATAACAATAATGTTATGTTGGTAGTACTAATAGAGACAGAGCGGTGGCAATAATAATAAGGGTAGACATTATGACAGTAGTAATGACGATGATTATGATAATGATGATTTTAACGATAATGATAATAACGATGATGATGATGATAATGATGTCGATGTAGACAATAATATAATAATAATAATAATATTACACACTAAAAATAGTAATAATAATAATAATAATAATAATAATTATGTATAATGATAACAAATAATAGTAATAATTGATAGTAAAAATCTGTATACATATTACAATAAAAAAGACAATAATTTTTGTTTTCTACTTTAAATTATTCATCATGTGTTTTTCCTTTACTGTTCTTTTTTACTCGCTTGGTTCTCTTCTCTCACGTTGAAATTTCCATGATTATTTTATATTATGTTTTGAAATATAGTATATAATAATTGATAATTAGGATTAAAAAAGAAAAGCAGAATCGCTTAGGTTGATCATTATTTCTTAGAATAATATCGATTAAATCTTGTTATAAAAAAAAAAAAAGAAAGAAAAAAGAATTAAAATGTGTGGAATTGTGTGAAGTAGATGATGA